GTGATTCACAGCTAAGGATTCAAGATATCATTTGTAGATGGCCTGGTTATGTGCACGACACAACTATTTTCAATGATAGCCACATACGTGCCGATTTCGAGAGTGATATATATGGGAAAGATTTTCTCTTGGGAGATAGTGGATACCCTTGTAGAAGTTACCTTTTGACTCCATTTTTGCAGCCTAGAACAAATGGTGAGGAAGCTTACAATAAAGCACAAGTATCAACAAGAAATCCCATAGAGAGATGTTTCGGGGTATTAAAGAGACGTTTTCCCTGCCTATCTATGGGACTAATGGTAAAACTAGATACAGCCATAAACATTGTTGTGGCCTGTGCTGTATTGCACAATATAGCTATCGATCACAATGACAACATTGATGATATGGTAGACGTTGAAGCTGCTATTTATTCATTTCAAATTTTTTTATTTGAAGTTCCAATTCTAAAATTTCTTTTTGTCTGATTTCATTATTTAAAAATACCAGTTTGGTTCTTTTTTCTATATTTGTACACTCAATTTTTTTTATAATAAATACGTCTATTGGTTTCGCTCCCTACATTTTTTTATTTTTTATTTTTAAAACAAGCCTTAGACATTTTAGATTTTTTCTTTAGCAGGACAGCAGATGTCGAGGGTGTACTGAGCAGCACAGTGGAAGTAGAGGGTACATTGGATGTCTGCTCCGTGTCTTCCAATTGTAGATAATCTACTTTCACTTGACTATTTTGTGCAACTATAAAAATAAAAAAACTTTCATTTTTTTTTTAGATATATTGTATCTGAAAACAAAGATACAATTAGAAATTTGTTCTATAAGTTAGACAATTTCGTACTTACTTTTCAATTATATGCAACAGTAAACACTTCTCCCTCTCTGTATAATTTTTGCGTGGAGGATTACTCATTTTTAATATTAATTTTTTAAATTATGTTGTTTTTTTAATGGTAGGTACAGCTTAAAATTTTTTGGTTCTTTATTAATATTTTGAAGGATGACAGCCGATTGTGACAGTATCGAAACCAAATCGTATGTCACATAATTTCTACGATCATGTAATTTTAAGATAATTAACGTTTCAGAAACTGGTCACTGGTTAACAGTTAATCAAATCTAACAGCTCGATTAGATGATCGGAGATTTGAATAACGTTTCGGAAACCGGCCACTAGACGTATATACTTCATATAATTTACTTACAGATGCACGACATTATCATTGACAGAGATCGAAGTTGACATAGTTGCCAAAGTATAAAAAAATCCTGACTCAATCAAATAGGTCACATAATTATTGCAGAAGTATTACCATCTCTTTACAACGACTATTTAAATTCTTACGTGAAATTTTTGAAATAAAACACACTAATTCTGTTCTAAAACGAACAGATTTTATTAAATAGGTAAAAATATAAACCAAGAGGTATTCACTGTAAAATTCAAAATAATAAAGTACAAAAAGTATCAACACCGCAACTGTCAAATAAGTGTTACCAATTTATGTCAAAATTTCACCTTCGTTCGATTACAGTTACAGTGTGTTCCGAACAAATGTTCTCCATAAAAACGCTTTATAATGCATTTATACAAATTAAATGAAACATATAATTGTGTATTTCTTTAAGTTAACATTAATAGAAATCTTTAAATATTATTTCTACGCGTATATAATAAAATATGTCTAGTGACTGTAATGCCAGTGTCTCGGCAAAGCAATTCTAAAAAAGAACACACCTACCGTATAAATATTTCGTGTTGGTATCATGTGGCGTCACGGGCTATGACGCCGATGACGTGCATCGGTATGTAAATTAGATGAAGTATATACGAGACAAAGACATCTATAAAGACAACGAGTTTTGTGTAGTGTATTTGTTTATTGAAGCCAAAAATATCTAGACGTATATACGAGACAAACACATCTATAAAGACAACTTTATATTTAATATACTTTCTTATTTTACTGCAGAGAAAACCAACGTGGGCCTTTTGCGTCCAGTTCAGCCCGTGCATAAATGTGTATGTGTGTGATGCACTCTACAAAAAGCAAAAAAAAAGTGAAAGGGCAAAATGTCGCACAATATAAATGTCGCCGACAACCAAAGAATATAGATCTTCCCGAAGGTGGAAAATTTGAAATTCGTGAGACAATATATACAATGCGCGAAAAGAAAGAACATATTTCTTTAGATTTAGTGCTACAAAAATTAAAATAAATACATGTGAAATTTCCAGAACAAGTCTTTGGAGAGCTTTAAGACAGATTGGGTTTAAGTTTAAACACTATTTAATCACTTAAGTAATGTTACACTTCGTTTAAATTACTTAATTAAAAAACCAACTTGTTTACAATACTAAACTCAATGATAGTAATTATATACTTCAAAATCTAAATTACAACTGTTCTATAAACTATCAACTTTATATTTATATCATGACTTCATATTTAAATCTAAGGTTTATATCTGTCATAACAGTATTTTAAAAATGGGGAGAATTTACTATTGCACAATTCAGCACATTGGACCATTTAAATCGATACCTTAAACAGAATTTAAAACAGTCGTATATTCGTGGAATGGAGTAGATTAGTTATAATTATTAGTTTATGGATTCGGCTTTTGGAGAAATTTTCGGGAAAGCTTGTGACATTTGAATTCATATTCCTTTGTAGTTTTAAATTTAATTGTTTCAACGGTTCAAAAATATCTGCAAGGTATGGCAATATGCTTGGTATTTGCAAGTTATGCAATGTTGTATAAACTATATATAGCTGATAATATAATCTAAACTAAAACTCAAATTATGGAAGACAAATATTGCAGATTAAAATGTTTTAAGGAAGTTGCAACATTTTGATTTAGCATTTATTTTAATGTTTTGCTTTTGGTTATCTTAAATGCATATGTTGGAGACTACAAATAAATTAAATAAACAATTGTAATAACTATTTAAATTTAAGTGATTAGTAAGAGAGTTTGGTAAGAAAATGTGGCATATTTCTTTAATTATTTTCATTTACTTAAGTCAGTTTGGCCTATCCAGAAATTAAAATGTTTATTTTTTTGTTCCAAACATTTAAGACTATAAGCAGTATCAATATTTTTTATCACTACTCATTGATAGATATTTTTTAAGAAATTATAAATACGTAAATTCGCACTTTTTGTTTTTGAACATCATGAAATATTCATAGACATGTTTGACACAACAGAAAAACGTGTGATCGGGCTGTTACCTTAAATGAAGTTTCAAATTTGAGAAGAGCATTTGAAAATGAAGAATTCTAATAAAAAATCTAATTGTAATAATACAGGGTGACAATTGGCAATAGAACGACTTTGAACTAAATTATACCGAAGAAATTGGCAAGAAAATACTATCTTATTCACATCAAAATGAAGCTTATATTATGTCATTTACAATATAATTAAGTATGGAAAACAATGTCATCACGTTGGATGCAGTTTTCGATCCTCTTTATGAAATCCTCCATAACACGCTCTAACATCGCTCGATCAATAGTCAGGATTTCCTGGCAGATTGCGTTCTTCAACTCAAACTACTAGGCTTGTTAGTACATAAACGACTCTTTAAATACCACCATAGAAAAAAATCACAAATTGACAGGTCTGGAGACCTTGGAGGCCACGGCAAATCTCTGAAACGTGAAATGAGTTGTCCTGGGAACAGGTAGAGGTAATGGATTTTGACAAGAGCTATGAGTCATGCCGATGCAGTACACAAGTTTACCTGTTATTTACAAGGTAAAAGCTCTTGTCAAAATCCATTACCTATAGCGGAGAATATTCATTGAAGCGTGGGCAGTATGTGCCGTGGCACTATCCTGCTGAAACCAAACATTCCTTGGGTTTATCCCTTTTCTGCGTAGTTCTGGAACCAAAAAATTTTGGATCATGTCAACGTAGCGAGTAGAATTAACGGTGACGGTATGGACAGCCTCTTCGAAAAAATATGGCGCAATAATGCCAGTCGAACCAATGGCACACCACACTGTGACTTTTTGAGAATGTAAACAACGCTCATGGGTTTTCACGAGCCCAGTGCCTGTAATTCTGTTTTTTAACGGTTCCGTCCAAATGAAAATGAACTTCGTCGGTCATTAGAAGATGCTGACCTAGGTTATCCTCCAAAAGAACTTTCATTCTCGTAGCGAAATCCTCACGTTATTCAACATCTCTTTCCATTAATTACTGGACAAACTGCAATTTGTAGGGGTGAAATTTTACGTCCTTGTGCAACATTTTTCTAAACGATTCCCGATTAATGTTTAGCTGAATTGCATGTTTTTGGGCGGATCATGTAGGGCGCCTAATGACGGCATCTATCACTCACTGTATGTTTACAGGAGTTCTTACTGTTCTTACTTAAGATTGTGTTGCGAGAAGGAACCGTTCAACGCCTACCAATATTAAAGTGAGTGCGAAAAAGCCACTGCGTAGTGATCACTGATTCTTGATTTCGGATAAACTCCATGTTTACTGAAATGGCACACTACTACAGATGTGAGAGTGAGAGGTAGTGTAACGCCGCGCTTGTCCCACTCTCATCCCTAGATCCGTCATGATGTTTCTAAAAACATCCGGGTTCCGATTGTCAGTCAGTACAATGTAATGAAAGTAATAATTTCACAACTTTTGCTCAAAAATATCGAGACGAACCAAAAGATCTTTTCGTCGCATTTATAGACTCAATCAGATTAGAATCAGAAAGCTTCAGCCAATTAAAATAGTAAAAAATCTGTATTGGAACAAACATACTGTGGTAACATTAAATAGGAATAGCAGGGATGTGCAAAAGGTAAGTAGAGGTGTGAGACAAGACGTGTACTTTCACATTACTATTTAATATATATTCCGAAGATTTATTTATACAACCACTTTACAACTGTACAGAAGGGATCAAGATAAATGGTAAAATATACATTAGTTATGCAAACCATACAGTTAGTATCGTTGAAAATGAGAAAGACCTGTAAATGCTACTAAACACAATTTGTGATACTGGGGAACAGTTTAGTCAAGGATCCAGGTAAGAAACGAAGAAATTCGATCAACAAAAGAGCAATCAAGAGCAGCCTTTTTGAAGACGAGGAAAGTAACCAAAGTCACAATTTGCAAATCCGATATCGTAGGTATGGTAAAATGTTATATCCATTCTATTCTTCTTTATGGTGACGAAGCTTATACTGTTAATGTTGAGAAAGTTGGAGATGTGGTCTTTTAGAAGAATTTTTAAAATACCATGGACCGATTATATTACGAACGAAAGGGTGTTGCAAAGAATGGGAAGAGACAGAGAACTGTTGACAACCATTAAAAGAAGAAAGACAGCATATTTGGGGCACATACTTACCAATGAGAAGTACAAGTTGTTGCAGCTGATTATGAAGGGTAAAATGAAAGAAAAAAGGGGGTAGACGAATTTGCAATGGTTATAGCCAACCTTCATGAGTGTAGTCGGCACTTAAAGAAGAATTCTAATAAAATTTAATAAAAGAATAATTGCTGACAATACACAGAGCTATTGCCAAATAAGTGTGAGGCATAATTACAAGGCAGCGCAACAAAAAGAAAGGTTTTCTCTTAGAGATCATTTACAGGTGGCAGCATTGTTTAATAAAGATATATTCCTTCCGATATTTTGACTGCCGTGTGTAGCTACATCTTATTCTATTGTGTAAAATCAGACTGAAAATTAAATTACAAACACTCGGGAAAATTTTAAGGAAATTGTTGTGAATAAAGGTAATGGATTTTGACGAGAGCTGTGACCTTGTAAATAACAGGTAAACTTGTGTACTAAATCGGCATGACTAATATCTCTTGTTAAAATTCATTACCCCTACTATCTTTTGTTTGATAAAAAATATTTGCGAAATATTTGTGGAAGCTATAAAATTGTTAAAAATGATTGTGATTCCAATAGCCACACGAGAATCAGAACAAAACAATGCGCGAGATGACTAAATGCTCTAATTATGTTGTCAACAAACAGAAACTATCCACTATGAGCTAAATAATTTCGATGTAAAGGTTATGGAAAAATTTGGTGTTATAAGAAAAGATGTTAGAATTTTGTTTTTTTTTTAATTATTGTTATTTTATAAAAACGCAAAAGGTACAGCACACATGTATTTTGCTTTAACTTTAAAGTAAAGCGATAAATCTTCAAATTTGAATGTAATTTTTTTTGAGTAGACTTCACAATCTAAGAATAAAAACTTAAAAATTTAATTTCTCAAGAATATAATGTCAAATAATTTGAGATTCACTCATTTCTAATTACGTATTTTAAAACTAGAAATACATTAGACATTGAACAAATGGTTGGAGAGGATAAAATTTAAAAAAAGCTTTTGGCTTACCTGGTAAAGAGATCCCATAGTAGCAGATGTTGGTGGAATGACATTATTCACAAAGAAGAAAAGTGCATCTTCGGGTCTCAAATGTATCCTTTTCCTAATAAGAAAATAAAATTGACCTACTGTTAGATCAGAAGGTACTAAATACTTCTTTTTGTCAACATCACCAATTCTTGCTTTGGGGGCCTTTTCAACAATTACCTGTAAAGATAAATGTTATTTAGTAAATATTATTCAGGACTTTTAAATATATTAAAATTTTATTTATCCATTTTATTTAGCGGATAAATTAAATTTAAATGTATAAAAAATGTGGAAAATTAAAATTTTCCACAATTTTCCACAATTGTTTGGTTGAATTTACTCTTTATAAAACAATCTTCTAGTCAAATTAAGAAACAAACACCGAGAATATTTATATAGTTTAAATATCCTTATCAATCATTCAGTTTTGAGTGGTAAGTTAACTCCAGGACTGTTTGTGATGCAGGTATAACGCTGTTGGGTTGGACTTGAGACCAATCATGGATCCATTTGTTGGTTATGTTGAATTCTATAGTTGTAGTCATTTATACCATTTTATACGACAGTTTTTGCATAGTCGATTTTTTTTTTCATTTTCATATAATTTTGTATTGGTAGTTTCCTCCAATTGAGAACTTTTTGTATTAGTTTGTTAACGTTTATAGTCCAAGAACGTGTGGTTGTGGAATATCGCTTAGCGCTAAATGCCATTGTGTTGAAATATATTTAATTACTATAAGATCACTTATAACAATAAAATTTTGACTATGAATCTGCAATCACTAATAATTAAAATTCAGTAGATTTTAACAATAAATACAAAAAAGCCTGGCTAATTGGCTCTGCCAAAGCCATATTACAGAAAAAAAAATCACTTAATAATATCATTTACGTGGTTATTCAGTGGAGCGCACCTCAAAAGAACTAAGGCTGAAGACGCGACTGATGACGCCGATGCTCCCTATGTCGAGCCACAGTACTTCTGGATGATGATGTTTCGGGATCTTAGTTTTCAGCAACTAATGTTCTATCTAAAGTCTCGTCTAAGTATGGTTGAGTTGCGTGTTTTCAAAGTGTGCTTTGAGAAAAATTATTATTTAAGTGAAAACAAGATACTTCGCTTTTAGAGGCGTTAAGTTAAAGTCTCCATTTTCGATTTCTTCTAGATCTTTAGTCAGAATAACTTCAGCTTCTTTGCTTTATGCAGCTTTTTTGTTGGAATTGAAATTTTATAAGACATATCTCCCAACCACTCCCATATAACTCATCCACCTCTTATTTTCAAACGGAAAAGTTGTGTAGCTAGATTAAAAATCTTTAAGAAACCGTACGTGAGACGTTACACACGACATGTTACTTGAGTGAGCATCAACATAGAAAAAATTTGGCTATTGGTTGTAATAATAAAAACAATGTTTAGTATCATTTACAAAACCAATTGACTACCTAAGCTTTGACGTATCAATGGACGGGCATCTAAAAAACATTTCCAAAAATTTCTAATTTGTGTGTATTTGTCCCATAAGAAGTTGGAAACAAATTTTTTTTAATTGTTTGAAGAATAAATAAGGACTTTCGGTTATGAACATTCATTCGGTGCCATTGGTATTATTTGTTGTTCGTGAATTTGTGGGGTAAGAATATCAAAGTATTAAGATATTTACTATCAATGTTCATGTTTTTAAGGTTATGCTGTTTGATTGTTTGATTAAAACTTTAATTATTTATTACTGTATTTCGGTATTTTGTTATTGTTTTCATCGGGATTATTTTAAAATTAATCAATAAATCATTGAATTTATTTACGAAGTTAAAAAACATTTAAATTAATGTTTTATTTATTCTTTTTTATGTGCTAGTCATTTTATCCCCTAAAAGGCTAAATATATTCGTTTTTCGTAGTTTAAACAGTTAATAGTAGTTTTGTTGTCATTACTGAAAAATTCAGTAATACTAGATATCTTTAACACATGTTTACTAGCCATTATATGCCCAGATCTAAATAATAATAAACTCAAAAACTATTACAACATTCAAAAACATTTTTTTAACACTCATTATGGGAATTTGATAGAAATGTTTTCACAAAATGTTATATTACAACTTAAACTACCAGAAAACGAATATTTTTAGTCAATCACTGGCAACGAAAAAAAAAAATAAAACATTAATTTAAATATTTTTCAACTTCGTAAATAAATTCAATGATTTATTGATTTATTTATATATGCCCCTGATAAAAAAAAACAACAAAATACCTTGAAATACAGTAAAAAAATAATTAAACTTTTAATCAAACAATAACATAACCTTAAAATCTAAACATTAATAGTAAATATCTTAGTAATTTGATATTCTTACCTCAAAAATTCACAAACAACAAATAATACCAATCGCACAGAATGAATGTTCATAACCAAAAGTCCTTATTTTCTCTTCAAACATTAAAAAAGAAACAATATTTCCAACTTCTTATGGGACAAATATATATAAAATCATCGAATTGTTTGGAAAAGTTTTCTAAGCCCTGCCTATTGTGAGTTCAGACTTGGCAGCCCATTAAAAGGACAGGAGACAAATATCCACTTTTTGGTAACAGTAATATCACAAATGTCAACAGAGACCATTATCAAAATTTTTTTTGCTTGGAATCTTGGTCATGTAGCCAGAAAATTTATCGTAAAATAAGAGACTTATAATGGACAGGAAAAAACTGTGTCACTCGCTTCTCGTCCAGGTGCCCGTCAGAACGTGTCTTGAAATGCAAGTAATTATACAGGGTGTCCAGAAACTCTCCTGACAAACAATGACTGGAGATTTCTCAGATAATTTTAAGACAATTCAACACAATTCACCTAGTCCGAAAATGCTTCCTAAGGGAACTAAAGCTCTTTGAAGATGGCGCCTTGCAATTAATTTATTTTTAATACCTACAGAACCCTTCTAGTTAGAAAAACGAAAAGTTATAAGGTTATTTATGATCCAGAGTTGAATAGATTCCATCAATTGAGAATTTCTAGTACGGGTCATAGGCGTCCGTTTTGGGTAGGTCAAAAGTTAGTTTGAGGATTCGTTATACTAGATTATTCAGGTATTCTAGTACTAAAAGGTACTCTTACTTTAAGTCGGTAGGATAAACCATTTTCTAGAAAAATCGATTTGAAAATTTTTCGTTTTTTTTCGCCATAAAAGTTAAATTATTAGGTACCTTAATATTATAAATTATCTTTTGTTTCAATAAATACAGCACACAATTCGTAAAAAAAGTTTCGAAAAAGGAGCAAAAAATCAAATTTTATTTAAAGGGTTTTAAAAACAAAGTATTACGATGGAACGAAACTAATCAAAAGAACAAGTATCAAAAGTAGATATGTAGTTACAAGAGATGCTAGATATTGATGATAAAGTCTCTATGCATAAATTTGCCCTTTTGCTTAGAGAACGCCGAATTTTAGCAATAATTCCAAAGATATTTCTAAATTCGTTGCAAGCATCTTGTATCCTTAGCTAGAGTTGTGCTCGATTTTGTATCGGAATGGAATAAACAAATGCTTTTATGTATCCCCAACCCCAATAATCACAAGGATTAAAATCCGGCGACCTTGCTGGTCAAGCAACTGAACCGCCTCTACCAATCCAATGGTCTTTGTAGTTATTATCAAGAAAGTCTCGTACATTCCTGCTAAAGTGGGCCGCACAGCCATCATATAGAAACCATAAGTTTTGCCGAAAGGCACATCATCTAATGAATCAGGCCAAACATATTGAAGGAAATGTAACTAATCACCATTTGTTTAAATGCACCATTTAAACGAGCAAGCAATTCCACAGGCCCAAGTAGATAATGAACAACGAGTGGTTTGTCACCAACAAACGAATTATATTGCACAAGCAGGAAAATCTCCTTGTAGCAGTACTTGTACCTTTGTAAAATGAAAAGAATATAAATTTTCGTTGTGTAAGATATTTCCTACGGAAGATTTTAAAATTGTGGAATACATGGCAGATAGTCTTACGCTAATTTCTGGGTTTTCTCAACTTCCATTAAAATAACATTTTCATGTGCTGCTGTTACATAATCATGTCATCCTCTTTCATTTTTTTTTTGACCACTAAATCTGGAGAGATGAAGAGCTGTAAATATTTAGTTAGTGGGATAACAATTGGGAAATTTTTCAGGGTATATACTTTGTGCTGCTCGAGCATTAGATCTCATTTCGCCATAAACTAAAGCATATCAGCGTATTCCTCATTAGTAAAAACCATTTTTGAATTTAAATTGTTATATTTTAATGCCACAAAGTAAAAAACTAACAAATAGACTTCGCGAACCGACTACAATTTGATAATGAAAAACGTTGGTTATACTTCTGTTGACAGGTCAAAGCCAATTAGTGCAAAAAATATTAATTTAACTTTCATGACTATAAAACGAAAAATTTTCAAATCGATTTTTCTAGAAGAAAACTGTGTATCCTATCGACTTAGAGTAAAAGTACCTTTTAGTACTAGAATAACTGAAAAATTCGTTACAATTATGTGTTAAAATAACCGTTGACCGACTAAAAACGAACGTCTATGATCGGTACCATAAATTCTCAATTTATGAAATCGATTTAACTCTGGAGAATAAATAACCGTACCAGTTCTCGTTGTTCTAAATAAAAGCGTTTTGGAGGTATTTAAAAAAAAACTAATTACAAGCAGCCATCTTCAAAGAGCTCTAGCTCCCTTAGGAAGCATTTTCGGACTAGATGAATTGGGTTAAATTGTTTTAAAATTATCTGAGGAATCTCCGGGCGTCGTTTGTCAGTAGAGTTTCTGTACACCCTGTATATTACTAGTAGCAAAGGTTAAACTAAAAAAAAATTTGTTTGTTACATTTTGGGAATTGCCCGAAGGTGTATGCTCATATTTCAATGCGTTTGATAAGATAAATATATTTCCGCCTTTTAATTACATAATTCCAAAAAAAGCATACATAATAGCTTAATATTATTTAGATGGCTCTGATAAGAAATTTTGTATGAATCCCTACAATCGTGACGCATTTTAAAAGTAAACAAATGATAATCGTGTCGAGATGCTGTCATTTTGTATCTTCTATGAGCAATCTTATTCTGAAATAATTGTTTTAAACCATTAGACGCCATTTAAAATTTTAAGTTTTTGCAATT